TAAAACAATATAGTTTATAGGCTCATATGATTAAACAAATCAATTAAAGAAGACTCTCGAAAGGTTCAAATAACAAGAATAATCAGACTAATGAGAGCTATTTCAGCTGTTGTTAGTGCGATCATATATAAGATATATTAAAGTGTGAATATTATATATACGTAAGTAGTTCCCCCCAATTGCGCGCCGAACGTTCGTCGAACTTAAAACGCAAATCTAATCAACTACCGTAGTAATAAAATAAAACAATATAGTTTATAGGCTCATATGATTAAATCAATATACTAAGAAATAATAGCCAATTAAGAGCCAACACAAGAACGTCGTGTGTAAAATTTTTAATTTAATAAATACAAAGTAATTATAAACGTTTCGACCCTATATTCGGGTCCTTATCAATATATAAATATAGATATTAATGTAATAAAATCGCAAGCATAAGATGTTGTTCAAACTATCAATTTCTGTTCATCTAAGTGAAAGCTTAACTGTAAAAATTTTTTTAAAAAAAGCGATGTTTATATGAAGTTAAAATAGTCTAACATTTAAAAATTAAAAGACTCACATGATTGTCAAGAATTGATTGTGTCGATAGCAATCTCATGTTGAAATACTGTAAAATTCCATTAAACTGTTCAGAAAACTAAAGGAAAAAATAAAAAAACGAATCTAAATTAAAAAATATTATGAAAACAATATCAATGTAATACTCACATGAAAATCTATAAAATTATAAAATTATATATAAGATGTTATTCCTTCAAGATTGAAATGCAAAGTGATCGAAACATGAGCAGTATAATGGAAAATTGTACACAAAGTCAAAAAGGAAAAATCAATAAACATTACATCATTAAAAGAAAGAAAGAATCACAATTAAACAAACTTAAACAGAGATAATTGAAAACAACACGAATTATGAGAACAATTCAGTATATAAAGGATTTAAATTTTGAGTGTCATTTTTAAGATTTAAACCATTCTTTTGCATATTAATATGTATCATTTCAGAAATAAGTCTTTTATTAAAGGTTTCTTCTTTGTCCAAAATATGTACTGAATTCCAATTAAAATCATGAGAAGATTCTAAACGATGTTGCGTTATGACAGAATGTTGAGTAGTATTCCTGTTAATATGATTTCTATGTTCTTTAATACGAGTTATTAAACTTCTACTAGTTTGCACTACGTAAGAACAATCACAATCATTGCAATCAATCTTATATACAACGTCATTATGAAGATGGTAAGGTAATTTATCTTTCTGTACTTTAATAAATCCATTGAGTTTACTAACACCCTTATAGGCCATTCTCAGAAGAGGTACATTTTTTAAGAAATTACTAATTTTTTCAGATATTATAGGAATATACGGGATGATAAAATATTTATTTTTTTCTTTTTCGTCAATAGTATTTACAGTATTATTATTAGTAGTCATGTGATTAAATTCATCAAATTTTTTATGTAGTCTTTTTTTTATAGTGGAAAAAATGATATCCAATAGATATCCATTTTTTAAGAGGAATAAATATTTTATCATCCCGTATATTCCTATAATATCTGAAAAAATTAGTAATTTCTTAAAAAATGTACCACTTCTGAGAATGGTCTATAAAGGTGTTAGTAAACTCAATGGATTTATTAAAGTACAGAAAGATAAATTACCATCTTCATAATGACGTTGTATATAAGATTGATTGCAATGATTGTGATTGTTCTTACGTAGGGCAAACTAGTAGAAGTTTAATAACTCGTATTAAAGAACATAGAAATCGTATTAACAGGAATACTACTCAATATTCTGTCATAACGCAACATCGTTTAGAATCTTCTCATGATTTTAATTGGAATTCAGTACATATTTTGGACAAAGAAGAAACCTTTAATAAAAGACTTATTTCTGAAATGATACATATTAATATGCAAAAGAATGGTTTAAATCTTAAAAATGACACTCAAAATTTAAATCCTTTATATACTGAATTGTTCTCATAATTCGTGTTGTTTTCAATTATCTCTGTTTAAGTTTG